TTTTTTTTTTTTTTTTAACGAGAAAACCAAACCTTTCATTGAGAAGTTAAAAATTACCACATACAAAAAAAAAATGCCCCCACCAAAAAGAGCCAAACTAAAACATGTTCTTATTATGTGTTTGGGTTAAAGCGTCAAATGTACCTTATTTAATTTGACATCTGTTGAGGAGTTACATGAGCTCATCACTTCTTCCACAAGAATATCCCGAACATACTCAAACAAAGATACCTTTGCAGAGGCATGAAGCTCCTTTTCGAGGCATTCCACCATCCATTTCATGTTTTCCTTTGGCCTATCACAACCAGAATGAGATGTTGGCCTAGAAGGAATTGACAAAGATATAGCAGGTGAGTGCACACAGATTTCTGTTGGTGCTCTCTTAAACTCCGCGACTGATAGGCAATTGACACCCTGAAAAGAAGATTTCCAAGATAAAGCCTTCAAAATAAATAATACGTTATAATAATATATATCTATTTGTAGAATAAAATTTCTTTGTTTATAAAACATACTCTCTCACTATATAACATGGCCACTCATCATAGTAGTATTGGCTTTAGAAAAAACTATTCAGGATATGAACTTCAATGTTGTACGAACTCCTTGAAGCTTGATTCAAGGCTAATTACATTAAACTTCAACAGAATACCACAGGACTTGAAATAAAAATTAGTGCACCAAAACCATCAACCAAGGAGGACCATGAGAGCCTCATTTATCAGCCAAAAAATTTCCAAATTATATTTAAGATGCCTTTGATAATCTATAGTGGATAAGAAGAAATATTCCATTTCTATGTCCAAAAAGAAATGGTCCTCTGTATAGTAAGGAGATTTCAGAAAAAACTAGCCAATCAGAATTGATCGGATAAAGGTTGTACAACAAGAAAATGATAAGATCAAAAAAGTAGTTTCCATGATGGTTGTACGTTCCCAAGAAATGACAGTTATTTAGAAACTGTATGGGTATTGGTCATAACAATTTAACTCATATCCACCAGGACTAGACTTCATCCCAGGCACTCCCTGATGTCAAATATTTTCATAAAATGCAAACAGAATAGCAGAAAAGTATGCACCGTGTGGAGACTTACAGCTTCAGTAGGTATTTTTTCAATCTTCTTGGCACGATCACTATGCCCACTAGAAGCTAAATTATAGTGAGGACGATAAGACCAAAGTCTTTTGCTACGCCATGCAGATGAATACTCTGCCACCATATCATAAGAAACAGCATTCCAAACTACCTGTAAGGAGTAATCAAAAAGCATTCGGCAAATAACTGCATGCACCTCTCTAAAATTATCAACACCGCCGGTCATTTTAAGAGACTGAACGGGAACAGCATCAGTAGAAACTTTCTCAGGAACACTAAAGAAGCCTTGTGCTTCTGGCATAGAATCAGCAGGAAGATCCCCTCCTCTAGTAACTTCTGACTGCAAAAATAAAAGATAATTACCTATAAAGCAAAATAGGAACACAAAAATATACTTCTCTTTTGTTTTGTTTTGTTTTTTTTTTTTTTTTTGAATTACTATTCATTACCATTCTGCTGTCCAAAGAGCAAGCCTTCGTAGTTTGGTTGTTTTGTTCAACCTTTATTTGTCTTTCAGATTTCTTCATGGTGATATAATCTGCAATGATGTTGCCAACAATCTCATCAAACACCACTTTGCGAGCTGCTTTCATTATTCCAGAATGCAGTTGGGATGAAACTTCTTCAGAAGTTTCAGATATAAATTTCAATAAAGGGCTACTCTCATTGGCTTTGAGATCAGATGAGAAGTGAGGGGGAGGTATCTCAGCTTTCCATGCATTCACCGCAGAAAATAATGTGAAGGGTCTAAATTTGCTTTCAATATGGTATATCTACATCATAAAAGATCAATGATCTACAATAAGAACAAGATTAACCAAATGCTGGACAATTGATCACACTCAGTAATACACTTCAAACAAAGGCAGACAACAAGATTGATCAAATAACCGAACAACTCGTTATATTCAAATATGCATCAAACAACTGGTTATATTCAAACATGTTTAGGTAGCTACATTTAAAATATGTATCTTATTTTCTTATAGTTTATTTTCAATGGCTTCTTTTTTAGAATAATAAGTTGATTTTCCCTCTAAAAGCACAGGCTGCTGGACATTGTTTTCACAAGCCACACAATTTTAGTTCTTGAAAACAATTTTGCAGACAGAAGCAAAACACAGTTCCGTTAGCTCTCTTGACCAAGTTACTCAGCTCAAATACGGAATTCATACAAACAATTAAGCACTTAGGACTATCTCATGAGCATAGAAACAGATAAACGCTATCACTTTTTTTCCAACATCAGAAAATCCTAAGCTTTGGAACAACGAAAACGCTGGTTATTATCAATAAATGCAAGTTTCATGAGTGTTTTGTCTGTCAAAAGATATAACATTGTACAGTTCCTTTGTAGCCATAACTTCAGAGGAAGGCAAAAATGATTATACTAATGTTAAATGCAGTCAAAGTGTATTATGGATACTGTATTTTTTGATAGGGAACAAAAGGAAAATATTCCAAAAGAGAACAAGAATAGCCTAAGGGCTGGGGGTAGAGGTCAACCCCAAAAATAGAGAACTACACTAAAAGAGCCTTCCAATCACTAATAATCATCAAGAGGATGTAGTTACAAAAGAACTTGTAGTGAAGGATAATGTAGTAAAGGTTAATCCTTGAGTATTTAGATTGGAAGGAACCAAAGACTTCTAAAAGGAAAAAGTTATAGATAGGTTCAATAAGTTGCATTTCACATAAGGGGGGAAAATTAAAATAAAATAACCTCTTTGGTTCTCTTACAGGTCATTTTCCTAATTACTCTTTAGATGTAATTAACTTTAGTTGGGAGCCCTTTTTGCCAGGTTGTTGGTTTTACTGGAATTGTGTTTTTAAACCTTTCATTAAATGGTGTAGAAGCTGTTGGAGATTCTCTTTCTTTTTTCTCTCACAAAAAGTCTTGAAATCATTTAACTTGATTAGTGCTTCACTCCATTCATCAATGAAAATTTTTTTGCAAACCAACTGTTGGCATGGAGTCCACGACTAAAGAGAAACAATAGGATTTGTAATACTAAAAGCAAAACATTGGGAAAATATGACAGATTTGGCTTGGTTCCAATGTCAGTTATAATGTTCCCCAAACAAAGCTTTCTACAATTATACTGATTCTATAATTAATTCTAATATGTTAGGTTTTCATTTTTATTGTATCTTGGGGGAGGGGGGTTGGTTAAAAAACATGATCAGCAAAATCCAATGAAGTTATCGAAAATGGGTATCAAACTGAAGTCTAGCATTGTACATCACTTACACAATTCATTAGATATATAGGCTACCAACGCCCAAAGGAAATTGGAGATGTGCATGGATTCTAGCATTGTACTATTTTTTTCCTTTCTGAATTTTTTAATATAATTAGACTGTAACTCTAAACTGAGATGTAAAAAGATTTGCACTGTAGCCAAAATATGAGAAGAGATCCCTTTCAAAAGTGGATGGATGATGGCATCAAAATCTACGACAAATGTTTCAAAGATTTATGCAAAGTCGCTAAGCACAAGGGGCACCATTTCGATCTCCAGCTTACCATAACTGAGTCCTTCAAGTATCCATGCTGATGCCAAGAATATAATTGTAGAAGCGAATACGGTCCATGTTTCCTCCCTGTATGATCCTCAATCAACCAACATGATCTTTCAACTGACTGGAAAAAATTAAAAAGTTTAGAGAAGAGGTACAATAGTTTTTTAGTACTTCTGAAAGCAAAGGTATATAACTTTTTGTAGTCAACATGCAAGGATAGCCTACCGATGAAAGATTTGAAGTACTAAAGCAAAAAACTTCAGAATTTGAAGCCTGTTTACAGCCACCATTTTCATATCCAAGACTTAGAGAGCCAGATTGTAACTCATGACAAAGAGTCTGTGGATTCGCATACTCTACCAAGCCCTCTTGCCTATGCATAGCCAAATCATTTTTACACGGAACAGAATGAGCCCCATTAGTACCCATGTTGGAGTTGTCCACACTCAAATAAGCAAAACCAGTTGCAACATGATCAGGAAACTGCTTAAAGTACTTGAGTGGCACAGGATTGGTCAAAGCTCCGTTTAAAACAGGATATACAAGAAGCTCATCTGGCAAGAAACCAGTAGATAAACCTTCATGAAGCTGTTCTTGAATATAAGGGCCACACATTTGACCTTGTTCATTAACATACATCCAACCACTTACACAAGTAGCCAAAGAATACCCAGAGAAACCCTTATCTTGGAATGAGGAGCCATCTGAACTGCAACATTCTGGAAGATCAGGGCTAGTGCCGTTTAACTGACAGCTCATATCTACTGATGAATATGAACCATTTTTTTCATCAATATCAATGCAACATGAGGATATGCAAGCAATATCCCTGCACCTGAGTTTTTGTTAAAACAAAGGAGTGAGAAAATGAGAAAATGTTGGAAATGTGTAAGAAATGAAGGTTGAAAAATGTTCTACAAGAAGATACAAAGCATACTATTATCACACGTGCTGATTGTTGAGATAGCATGCCTAACATGCAGATCTGTCAAAGCCAAAGCACCTTACTCTGGGAGCTAGAGACAACAGGGAACCACCCCAGCACTGTGTAAGATGCATGCCACATTGAAGAGTGCAAAATTTTATTCTCTATGTTGGTTATTCCATTAATTGTCTGTGGTTATAATACCATTGTTTTCTAACAGTCATCTCCAAATAGTTTATGCAGCCATCTATCTTATTACTACACCATTGGGCGTACCCTCACATGCAAAGTTTACTTGAAAACATGTTTATGATTCAAAATATTGTTGGTATATTGATTAAAGAGACAGAACAGTGATGATTTCAAAGTTTTACAAGGGCATTGTTACAGGACAAATTCAGTACAAGTCACCATCTCCATTCAAACTCTAACCACTTCAACTGCCGCCCCTGTCATTTTTATGAAATTAGTTGACTAGTTTTAGTTGGAGATTGGTTTGTTTATGAAGTTATTAGTTCAGAAGAATGTCTTTTAATACTTTGTTGGTTTCAAAATCACTAAGCCACCTGCACAAATAGAGAAGAATAATCCCTCGTAGCTAGGAACTACAAAAGTACGGATACTTTGTTAAGGGAATATAGTTTCATTTTGTAAACCTTGGAGCTTAAATGCTGTGCTGCATTAATAGTCATAGCAATAAACACCATCTCCTGTTGAAACCCGCAATTCCCTCCTAGAACTTCTCATCCTAACAGTTCAATATTGCTCAACATATAGCAGATACCCTGCCTCAAACTTCATTGATATAGCTCCAACTAGAGTTACTGGAGGTAGGCAGATTTGTCCAAAAAAAATGTTCAACACAGGCTCCAAAAAAGTCGCTAAAACATATATATATTCACAAAGATATGAGGGCTTCTTGTATTTGTCTCAGAAAGTTCTATATTATTTTTCTCCAGCCAAGCCACTCACACACAGAAACTCTTACAGGGTTAAATAAAAATAAATAAATAAAAAGACTTCATCTTTCCTTTCAAAGGTAGATCCACAAAGTAGAGACATTGGGCTGTTTTTTACCAATAGCAAATTCGAGCTGAATGAGAAAATTTTAAACAGCCCCAAAAATATCTCAAAATGATCATTAAAGAAATAAATGCCTAGCAATCTTCATCTACTCTGTGCAGAGGAGCGTGAAGATTCCTTCCTTGTATTTTCACCACTTGTACTTCTACCTCAAGTAAGTCCACAAGAAAAGTTTTTGAAAAGGGCTTATCTAAAAAGGGTTCCAAAGGGCATTAATTAACTTGTCAAGAAAGGAATAAGTGGCGGAATGTCTTTGAAAAGATCTTATCTAAAAAGAAATTTTTCTAAAAGGAAGTTGCAGGTGAAAGAACTAAGGTTGATTTTCCATCTTTACCGTCCTTCCATTGCCAAAGACAAATATTCTGACACCTATATATTGTTTTCTATTCCTCAATCTCCTTTTAAATTTCCATGAAAGTTGAAATTCCAGACCATACTATATCCCGCTCCCCTCCCCTCCCCTCCCAAACATCTATTCCCAAAAGCACAATGTACCTTCTGCCTTAACGGACACAGCTTACTTACCCACCCAATTTATAGTCAACATAATAACCTTGAGGGAGAAAAGTGGAAGACCAAATCAAGAAAATAAAGATTTTAGGAGGAGAAGAGAAGAAGACATAGACTCCATTTATGGTTGCACTGTTTCGGGAGACTAGAACCTGATATCATGATACTTCTTCACATAGGATACTTTGACTGGAAGTCTATCAAACACTTGGTGGACCTTGATAGTTCAATACTTTTTTTATGAGAAACCAATCTTTCATCAAAAGATGAGGTATACTCAGTAAGATCTGGGGAAGGAGAATATGATCCTTACCTTCTTACCCAGGCTTATTGATGATTCAGATTACTTTCCCATGCCCCTTCTATATTTTTCGTTTATTGAAATTACAGACTCCTTATCCAAACCCCACAACAACAAAAGGGAAAGAAGATGAAGTAGAAATAGAGCAAGGTTGGAAATTAGATTTCCAGCCCAAATAGATCGTGTCCTGAAGATCATCCAACCCAACCCTGTAAAAAATCTGTTTACCCAAAGAAAGCTACACCATATATGAAAATCCGTGATAGGGACCTAACCTTGCACTTGCAGGTATGTTCAAGACTCCACAAAAATTTATCGTGCCTTCACATGCCTTGAGCTATACATAAACATAAACGTGTGTCTACATAAATGTTGAAGAGATAAAACTTATAGATTACCTGCAGAATGAGCGTCCATCTCTGCTAAGCTGTGAAGATACGGGGAAACAATCATATTTACACTCACAGCTTAATGTATCTGGATCTAGATGTTGAATCTCTGTCACTTTATGCCTTTCTCGTGAAAATAAGGAATTGTCATACTCATGGAGAAGTCCTGTGGAGGAAACCATGTCCAAAGAATATACAGGGTAGAAACCTGAATTTGACTAAAAATGAAAAGTCTGCAATGGAAATAAAATAGAAATAATGCATCATTAGATAAAACTAAACCCTAATGAATAGTTAAAGGAAAACAGACTTGTGATATAAAGCAAATGGATGAAGTTCATAAAATGAAGAAGCCAAGATAGGAAGTAAGATGAATGCAAGGGAGTAATTTCTACCATGAAGGCTTAAAATACAAAGCAGCTTTTATGCTTCCCAGAACAAGTAGAAAGCATGCGACATGATAGGGACTGGAAAGCCAATATACCCTCAAACGCCATCCTCACTCCCAGAATTTATCTTTAGAACTCAAAGAACATAGCTGAAAACTTATAGAACAGATCCTATTCAAGTAAGGGTGTTCACCCCCTAGTCCATTACCTATCTCCAGAACAGACCTCAGAATCCAAAATGTATTTTCTATATTGGATTCATATGTACGGTAAAGATATTTGAAATCATAGATAGCAACTTAAAAACAACTTGACCAAGTTCAACTTCACCAAAAGACGATGGTAAGGCTTCTCAACACAGTTTGAAGCGCGTATAATCCATGCAATGGGAGAGCATTTGGGGCAGAGGGGGACGAACAGGTTTATTAGGATTATCCTCCAATCCGCCACCTGATGTTAATTAGTGAAGCATTCCCACGGATACTCGTGCCATCCCAAAAGCACCTTCTCAGTACAGAATGCCACAGACACCACCGGAAGTCCATCCCGCAAAACACAGACATCAAACGCCCTAATGCGAGCTGCTCAAGCGACTAAAATCTATAGGGAGTTTTTCTATGATTCCAAGATGAGCGTAAAGATTCAATCGTTTCAGCCACGAAGAAGAAAAGAAGCCGCATCAGGCGGAGATCTGTCTTAATCTTCAAGAATTCGTCGAAACCAGCAGTGACTAACTACTACTACTCTGAAAAGAATGATGGAATCGAGGTTGAGGTAGAGGAATACCTGTGGGTGGACGACGAGCATGGAGCCTAGGGCAGAGGCTGGAAGTCGATTCTTCCCCGTCTCTCTATCGACCAATGGATCCTCCACAACCCAAACCAACGCGATAATATTTATGGCTGCTGACCTGCGTTTGAAGCTTTCCGCTTTCTTGACGCGATTTTATTTGTGATTCGGTTCCATTTTGGACCGATCTGCCCGAACCGTTCGGCTCTGTCGAGTGTGTTTTATGGGTCGGATCGAACCGAACCGAATCGAACCGAACCAATTTGAAAATAGAATTACAATCCAACGTTACTTTACCCTACTTTAAAAAAATAATTATAAAAATTCATAATATTTGACGTTTTTAACTAATATTAGTAATGGATCATGTAAATGTTTAGTATTTGAGATTTTAAAATAAGCATGACGTTTTAAATAATTTTTAAAAAAAAAAAAAAACCTGACAACCCAACTCAAGGTTGGATTGGGTTGGGCGGTTCGAGTTGCTAACTCAACCAATCCAAAATTTAAGATTGGTCTACAAGATTTTTTTAGACCTGACTCAATTCAATCTAACCAGACTTTAAATAGTGGAAGGACCTACCGCTAAAGTAATAAAAAAATATACTTTAATTACACGGGACCAAAATATCTTTTACTAAAATTTAAATAATTTTCGAGTTAAAAATCAATATTTTCATTATCTCATACAAAATTCAACAAAAAAAAATAATATATATATATATATATATATTATATATAACCTTTTAACTCATTTAAAATTATAATTTTAGGTTTGTTGGTTGATTCATCTAAGCTCTATCAAACGCAACTTTTGAGCTTACGTGCTCAATGGAACGTTAGCGAATTAAGATTGGTCGACCCAAGGCTCGATCTAGCTCTATTCGGCTTCCCTTTTGGACCTTTTCTTCTTAATTCTTTGCTAGTCTCAGTTGAGTTTTGTTGAGTCTGATTTTACATACGACAAACATCTTATCTAAATTTGGGATTCATGATTCGACTTCTTATTATTCTAAGCTGGATGTTTGTTCTGCCTTAGAGCTTGATCCATGTGTTTTGGTCGTGCACAACCTTTACCGAACTAGCTTGGGTGCATTTCGATTCAACTTATGATGGTTCAACTCGAATTTTGGGTTTGTCAAAATAACTAACTAGGGCCATTGGGTTCGCCTTAGACGTTGGATTTTGCAAGCATAAGTAATGTGGCCCATTGGACTTACTATGTTCATAGGCTTGAAATTGTGAATTATATCTTTTATTACTTGGAAAACGTCGATAACACTCTTAGAGTAGAGCGTTGGTGAGTTAAGTTAAGTCGGGTTAAGACATTTTTAGACCTGACCCAATTGTTTAGGTTATCTATTTTTCAACTCAAACAAACTCTTAGTAAATAATGAAGTTAAGTGTCGTTTATTTAAATTTTTGTTCAATTCAATTTAAATATATACTTTAAAATTTATCTCATGTATTGTAACTAAAATTGTATTTTTTAACTTAACTATAAATCGGAGTTGTTCGGTTCAACACCATCTAATTTATATGAACTCAACCCAATTTAAATAAGTTCATAACCCAACCCAAGGTGTACGGGTTGACAGTTTGGGTTTGGTTAATCAAATTTTTGGACCATTGTGTTTTTCGTACACCCCCACTAGAAAGCGTTGATAACCAAGTTATGAGAATTATTTAGATATAAGAATTAGAGTTAATGTTTAAATAACCCGAGTTGATTTTCATAATCCATGTCATTTAGAGTAAGTTAAGCGTATGTTTATAATCACGATTTGTAAACAATGCGTAAATAAGGCTAATAAGAATAGTTTTTTTAAGAATTTATATAATTTTAACGTGCGTAAGTTGTAAAAGGACCTCGATGCCCCCAAGGACGCAACAATATAGAGTCAAAAGGAAAATTTTAGCTAAAGTTTGGCAACATGAAAAATGTGCCTAAAGATGCGACCGTAATGGACGTTTTCGACAAAATTTTTAAATATCACGAATTTGACCTATTTTAAAATTTGGCACTGTTTTAAGCGGAAGGTTATGTTTTATGGAAGTTGAAGTATTTCCGCATTCATGTTTATTATATGTATACAGTAGCGACCTTAAATTAAGTAGAAAATTTCAAGTCGTTACAAAATCATTCTAAGATAATTATCTAAAAACATAACTTTATTTTTCCACGATATATACAAAATTTTTAAAATCATAAAAGTTAATTACTTTTAACTCACGATTATAAGTATCAATAAAGGAAGGTTACGGGCGCAATCATGTTGTATTCTGTTTGAACCATATAAAACACGAGAGAGTAAGAAGCAGACACACATTGACATAAATATCTGACAAGCTTAGCCTAGTCGAGCAATTTACTACTCCTAGGGTTTGAAACAGATTCGGTTTCTCATTTGCACATTAATATCATTCCCTTCAGATTTGATATGCTTTTGAACCGTACTGTTGTATTAAATGATACATAAGTGTGTGGTTTACAGGTCCGTATAGAATAAATACCTAAAACTTGACAAGCATTAACTCTACCATTTTGTCGTGCACCCAAATGCCCTTGCCCTTAATTGAAGAGGTTAAGTATTAAAAGTACCGAATTAGTAACCTTTCTCCCTCCTGTGCTCGCCCATATTGGGGTTAGATATGCGCGCATATATATAACAACGTGGAAGTGCCATTGTAGAGTCTAAAATATGTTTCAAAACACGAGTCATTTTGCTTGTGAGCAAAATTCATCCCGTAAACAAAGTCTTATTTTTCATAAATGCTACATGCACCATCATCACATAATCACGTATGACATAAAATAAATAAATATATAAATATTTAGTGTATTTCTAAGGTCAACTGACACGAAAATCACTTACCTTAATCAAATTAGAAGTAAACAACCTCTTCCTAGCTTGCAAATACATGGTCAATTCCTAAAAAATCAACTGAACCGGTCCAACCGTACCAAACAATAATAGCTTGTTGTGCAACTTTTGGTAGTCGTGACACAAACCCAGTAATTGTGCGACACCTCAGCCACAAGGAGACCTATTGACGGTTGAAATTGTGTCTACACAAGAGTTGGATTTGCAAGGAAAACGATGGAGAGAGATTATAAGAATCCTACAAGAGTGAAAATCGAGAGTGAGGAGATGAATCAATTGAAAACTATGGTCGAAGATTGAAGGAGAACGATCAGTGGTACGAGGAAGTGGGACGACAACAAACAAAAACAATTATCGACTCGAAAAATAAAACGCTAAGAACGAAGGCGCTCGATAACCTAACACCAAGGCGACTGAGGGATAAATCTACACACGAGAAAGGTGGTTTGAAACTTTTTTAAAAATTAAAAAGACTGAACTACTTCACGAACCTTCTTTCACTCAAACACTCGGAAAAGCTAGTTAAAAATTAAAAAATAATCTTACCGTGGACAGAACTTTAATATCATATTTAAAAAATATTTATAAATTTGTAAAAGTAATATTAATATTCTTAAATTTTTTTTAAAGAAGAATTTAAAAAATTGTTTTCAGAATTTTTAATTAATTATCTATATATATATATAAGTTGAATGGTATTTTAAACAAAAAATAATAATAATAATAATAATAATTTTTATTTAATAAAAATATTTTTTAAATACTTAAAAAATAAATAAATTTAAGTGTATTATTGAAACTTTTACAAAGGTACGTAATATTATAATATTATAATTTATATTTATGACCAAACTTTTTGACCTCTTTTAAAATTTTATATATAATTATTATTATTTTATTTTAAAATTTAAACCAATAAAGGTTTTTAATTTTCAAAGGTACTAATGTTCTAGGCCGTATTAATAGTAATAATATTTTTTAACTTTAAAAAAAATCTTTATGAATATTTTTAAATAACTTATACTTTAATAAAACATTTTTTAATAGTATTTTGAACACAACATTAATGGTTTCTATCTAAAACTAATGAAAAAGATTAAAATATAAAAAAAAAAATTAAAACATTATTATTTAAACTTTGTGAAACTAAAAGTAAAGCGCAGAGATGAGAAACCTACGAAACATAAACTCGACTAATTAGACAAAAAATCGAAAAATGTAAAAAAAAAAAATTTATCAAACTTCGGTAAAATTGAAAGTTAATTGACCCATTCAACAGTTTTTTTAAGTTCAAGAACATATATAAACACGAACATAAAAGCTCGGAGATTGAACCTGTAATTTAACTCGAGCATGTTTTCGAAATAATTCTACGTTCTAAAAAGCTATGGAGAGAGAGAAAAAAGATAGCAACCTCACATCTCCAAAACTGCCAAAAAATTTCCCATATAATAACCAAACACCCACATGGTTTTTTGTTTTATATTTGTCATTTTCTTTCATTCCTATTATTTTCCTATATATATATATCCCTTTATTGCCTTTATTCTTTTAATTAAAATCTTATAAAATTAGGGAACTCGCCTTTTATCGAGTATTTTTTAATTATATCTTTTTCCCTTCGATAAAATTACAAAAATTTAATGATTATGTCTCGAACCTTAAATTTTTTTGGTTCTTTGACGTAATGATTGAACTAAATAGTTTGTTATCTCGTGCGTTCAGATAATGAATTGATCAGAAAAAATAAAGGTGGAATGAAAAATAATATTAATTTAAAATGTAATTTTGTTCGCCCACGTTATCAAGTTTCTTATCTCGTGCATTCTATCAAATTCTTTGGTCCACTCACTTCTCTTGTTATCTAGTTGTCTACTTTCTTGTCTCGTACCGTAAAGAATATTAGTATTTAGTTCAATGAGTATGTCTAGTTAACATTTCGATTATTACGACGATAATAAAAACTTACCATAATAAAGTAAAAATTCAGAAATCACTAGAGTAAAAAATAGATGAAATCTAAGCCAAATATCTCAGTAGTCGATGTGGTTCAATTCTCTAACACAAAATCAAAGTACAAATAGAGCTGAGACACTCGAGATGAAATTGGGCTCAGTAAGTCAGGGGTTGACAAGGAATTAGGGTTTCGTTCAATTAAACCTAAGAACTTAGGGAGAGATGGGTTCAGGCCAAAACCCAAAAGGGAGCCTCGATTCAAGGCTGAGGTCAATCTCACAACTTCATGACGATTATAGGAACCGTTAGACGAACACGATTCTCCACAATGATATGATATTGTCTATTTTGAGCATAAGCTCTCATTAGTTTGCTTTAGGTTTCCCCAAAACGCATCACCCAATGGAGAGAGTATTCTTTGTTTATAAACTCATGATCATTCCCTAAATTAGTCGATGTGGGACTTTCATCATCGAACAGTAACAACCTAAATGGGTTCGATCTCATTCCTTTTTATAAAAAGTAAAAGAGAAAGATCAGAAATTCCAGTTCAAAACCTTAAGCTATCCGTACTTACTCATTGTTTATTTACGCATCAACGATCATTTAAAATTAAAATATCGAACTCTCGAGAGGATAAATTAAAATAAATAAATAAATAAATAAGTGGGTTAGCTAATAATTATAATTAGTGGAATGTTAAAATAACTAAAAAAAGCAAATAATAGTGGAATGTCAAGGCTTAAAAAGGCAAAGATTCTGCGAACAGAAAAAAGGAAGGAAATATAAAACTATATATATATATTTTATTTTTTATTTTTGGCAGTCAATAATAGAAATGGAAAATGATATGGATAAGAGTGGTCCCCACAAAGATGCTCTCTTTCCATCTTTTTTCATGTGGACCCAATCTCATTGACCTAATCATATAGCACCCTGAATGATTGCCATCACAATCAAATCATGTTGAACGAATTACATCAGACGGCTGAGATTTGCTGGACATTGTTTGGTGTGCCATGATAATGTACCTAATGATTTCTTACTTTCTTTCTTTGGGTAAAAGTTATTTTTACCGTTGGATGAACTTTTTACTAAAAGTAAAAATAGAGTTGGCTCAAGTTTTTTTATTTTTTTATTTTATTTTATTTTTACCATAACAACTTCATATTTAATTCCTAATATTTGTAACGGACATTGGTAATACATTGTGACATGTAAATAAATATTTGATATCTAAAATTTATTTTTAAAAAAATTATTAAAAAAATAAAAAGTAACTTGACAACTCAACTTCAATCTAACTCGTGAGTTGGGTGCGTTAGATTGGACTATGAACTCTATTCTGGTTACTTGAGTCATGACTTAACCAACCCAAAATTTCAGGTTGGTCTAAAAAAAAATTATAACTCAACCCGACTCAACTCATGTACACCCGTAAATAAACAATAATTTGAATTATGAAAACCATTTCATATATATATATATATATATATATATATATATATATATATATTTGAATGATGAAAACAACGGCCATTTTAAAAAGAAGATATCGGTCGATTAAGAATTTCATAAAATTGACACACCAAATTCTACCTGTAACATTCGTATATACAACCGTTATGAATGAAAAGAAACATCGTAAAATTTGGGAAGTACGTCAGATATAGTATATTACCTAATGCATCATTTATATATCATTATTACATCATTTACATAGTATATCACATATTATATTATATATATATAAATATTATATTAAATATATAAGTGAAGCATTTAATTTAATTTATATTATAGTCTCAAATATATATTTCCAATCCTCATATATAAAATAAATTTATTTTAAAAATTATTTATATAAAATATTAAATAATACAGATATATCTTACCATCTAAATAGACGTCTAATATCCATTGAAGCGCTTTCCACTCGATTTTCATACATTCTTGACGGCCCATTTTTATCTGAGTAAAGTCTTTTAATGACATGTTCTGGTCTTTTTCTCCACTATTTTGAAAAAGCGAGGCACATATTCAAGTACGCGATTGTTAAGAATATTTAGTATTAAATTATAATTTACGATATATATTTTATTATAAGCTATAAGTATCTTGTTATTTTCATATCCTTTTTATTTATTTGATTATAAACAGAGAACTTTCACCTACCATTTAGGTGTGGTGGTTTAAGCAAACATTCTCAAAGATGCTATAATTACGGTTTAGGCAATTAGATATTCAACCTGTAATCACGAGCTGAGCTAGAATTTAATGTAATCAACTCAATCCCGAGGAGCGAGCCAACGGGGTTGGGGTAGACCCATGATTTTGTCATTATTATAATCTATGGGTATTGGGTAAGATTTAAATACATTGTATTGTAATGAATGGTCAAACTTGGTTTTGGAATCTAAAACCACCCAAATTCAGATGTGTAAGATTTGAGTTTCACGTGAGTGGCAGTTTTTTTAATTAATTATTTTATTTTATTTATTGGCAGTTCATCACATCCTTCACATGCAAATAATATCCAATATATTTTCAACTCATTTTTATTTTTATAGGGTCAAAAATTATATAATTATTTTCACTTATATATTTAAAAAAAAAACAAAAACAAAACGGCGCCGTTCATGAGGGGGAGCACCATCACTCTGTCTCGAAGGAAACTGAAAGAAAGAGAAGCTGATGAACCAACCCGCCCCTGAACCTCTATGACTCGGTAAAGTGGCTTCGCCTGAAAGAAGCACACTGGCTGTGCTTCGACCGTGTCTCCGAATTTTTTTTTTTGTATCGTTCAAATTCCCTTTGTGTATGTGCTTCCTACCTCTCCCTTTAAACACTGGGTAAAGGGGCTGACTGGCCCTATAGATCTCCCTGTTGTTGATTGAAAATTGGAAACGGATATTCGAAAGAAACGATTGCTTAATTACAGTATTGATTTCGGGATCTGTATATTTTGTGGTAACTGCGTTGAATATTGTCCAACAAATTGTGGCACCGTGTGGTTGGGTCATTGAGCTCTTACAAATACTAACAAAATGTTAGCAACTCAGCTCGTGCCTCGTGCCCAAGTATTACTCTTGTGCATGAAACTATTTTTAAATGAAGAAGACATCACCCACACGCTATTTCCTTTTTGATCTACAGCTACGACGATTAAGTAATTTAGAAATTTAACTGGTTTTTTCGTGTAAATGAGCAATGCAAATATATACTAGAGATAGAGTGGATTGCTCGGGTGTGATCTACTAAGAGTAGACTCGGGTTGAATTGGTTAGATTGGAGAATTTCTTTCAGACCAATTTCCACTGAATTGATGACCTGAGCAAAACGGAATAGAGTTGAGTAGGGAGGGTTAAATGGGTAAAAAAATTATAATGTTTGGTTATTAACAAAATTATTTTCTATTTTTCCGATTTTTTTTTCTAAGTACGAAAAAAAATTAAAAATTAAAAATTAAAATTTATTGCCAGCAAAGCAAATTCCCTTATTTACCCCTACCCGCTAAACATTTAAAAGGCTTACAGCTCGCCTTAATTACCGACAAACAGCGCCTTCGCTCTGCCGCTAAATTTTCCCTCTCGCCGGAATCGGAAGCTTTCCGGCCGCCGTTTATTATGTTGCTGTTGAGTTAGCTGAGTTTGTTCTTGTCTTTCTGTTAATGGCAATGTCGTCTCTGTCTAAGCGTTCGTCTCTCAGTCCGCCTCAGCCGGCCGGAGCGGCGAATCACGATCTCAAGCAACGAGTTATTGCCTGTCTGAACAAGCTTGAGGATCGCGATACTCTTGCTATGGCGGCGAATGAGTTGGAATCCATTGCTAGGGCTCTTACTTGTGAGTCATTCTCGCCGTTTCTCTCTTGCATTCATAATACTGATGCGTCGTCGAAATCGCCGGTGAGGAAGCAGTGTGTGTACCTTCTCGGTCTTCTTTCTCAGTCTCATGGAGATGCGTTGTCTCCTTTTGTGTCGAAGATGATTTCCACTGTTGTTCGTCGCCTCCGTGATTCGGATTCTACAATCCGATCTGCTTGCATTGACGCTACGGCTTTAATGTCGTCGCAAATTACGAAGCCGCCATTCTCGGTTTTTCTCAAGCCGTTGATGGAGACGCTCACACTCGAGCAGGATGTCAATTCGCAGATTGGTTCCGCTCTGTGTCTAGCGGCTGCGGTTGAGGCTGCATCTGACCCGGATGTGACGCAGTTGCGGAAGAATTTGCCTAGGTTAGGGAAATTGGCGAAGAACGAGGGATTTAAGGCGAAGGCTGCGTTGCTTGTGCTGATTGGGAGTATTATTGCTGTTGGTGGTGCGATGAATCGGAGCGTAATGGACTGGTTGGTGCCGTGCATTGTTGAATTCTTGAGTAATGACGATTGGGCTGTGAGGAAGGCTGCCGCAGAAACTCTCGGGAGAATGGCCGTCGCTGAAAGGGAGTTAGCGGCCGATTATAAAACATTGTGTATCAGTTCCTTGGATAGTCGGAGATTTGATAAGGTAACATGCTATTCATTTCTGGACGCTTGGAAAATCAGGGATAAGAACTGCAGACTTAAATGTTAAAATTGAAACTCAATTGCACGGTTATGCGTCAATTCTTTTCCTGTTTCTGCTTGAACAACTTTATATTACAGATCAAGGTCGTTCGTGAGACAATGAACCAAACTTTGGAGTTATGGAAAGATATTCCTGATGCTTCCAGAGACGTTTCAACTGGTAATTTCTTCTACCATAGCATTAGTTTGATTATCACTCTGATAAATGGCGATTGAATCTCAATTTTGAATTGTTCATTGTTCATACATGTTCATCTTTGAAAGAATGATGAGAATTGGATGCTTTATGTCTTTAATTAAAAGACGTGAAAGGAAGAACTAGTTCATCTGGTTCAAAAGACCTTTGATTTAGTTTTGTAAGCTCAAAGTGAAAAAGTTGTCCAATTCGATGGTTAATGGTCCCAATTCGTCTTTGAGTTGTTTGAGCTGAATTTGCTTTAATCAAATATCACGTTTTCATGTTTTGTTCTGTTCTTCCATGGGCCAGATAATGGCAATGGTGGATGCTTTTCTCCCACTTCCACATGCCACCCTGAACATAGTTTAAGAACACCGTTGAAGAAAACAGTCCCCACTAGCAGGTCCTCTCCATTGGAGGTATCACGTGTGACTAATAATAAGAAGATCAGTCCAAAGAACACAGATAAGAATTCAAGTACACCCACATCTAAGTTGGAACGCCAGAAATCTTCCAATTGGAGTGTTGAAATTACAGTATCAAACTCCCCCTCTTCAAAACTTGGTTCTAAGAACAATGCTGCTCCTGGGGGTGGTTCTGGAAACGTAGATTTCGAAGAAAATGGTACAAGAGGAAATTCCCTTTTCAATGCTAAACGAGTTCTTTATAATAACGTGCACGATGAGAAAGTTAACAAGTCGAGCAATTTGAGATCTGGGTGTCGCGTTGTTCCATTTGAGGAGTATGAGAATATTCAGGAGCATGAGAATAGAGGCTCGGATGTTACTGTTGGCAGCTCAAGTGAAGAAACTTTTGGAAGCCACAAAGATTTTGAAGATATCTCCCTGGTCCGTGACCAACTTCGGCAGATTGAGAACCAACAATCTAGCCTTCTAAACCTTCTGCAGGTATGCATCTTTTTTGGCCCCTGTTTCTGAACTTTTCATCTTTAAAGTTCCACATACACAATGACATAACTGACTTGTCCGCAAGAGTTTAGCATAATTACCATTATTATGACCATGAATGCCTCAACTACACTTTTGTTTTAATCATTCTAAGTTGGTCGGACTTCTCAACTAAATGTCTTTATTGAAGGTCATATTGTCGGTCACATTTGGTGAGTTACAGGTCATGTTTGGCGGCGGTGGTGGTGGTTGGGGGGAAATATTTTGTTTATTGTCTGGGTTTAAGTTTTATGAGTATTCTTAGACTTTGAATTACCGTAAATGTAAAAGGCATCGATGTTAATTTCACTCAACAATGTAGGGAAACGTGTGTTGCTTGTGTTTTGCCAATATTTTCTTGATGATAAACAAACCGTTCTGATTTGAAATTACCCTTTTTCAAATGAATCTAGAGCTTTATTGGGAGTTCTCAGAGCGGGATGAATTCATTGGAGCAACGAGTACGTGGGCTCGAGATGGCATTAGATGAAATATCTCACGACTTGGGTTTGTCGAGCGGAAGGGTACTGAATAGTGGTTTTGCTGAGAACTCATGTTGCAAGCTGCCAGGTGCAGAGTTCTTAAGTTCCAAGTTCTGGAGGAGAGCAGAAGGACGGTATCCTAGCTCAAAGTTCTGTTCTATGGCACATGCCACATCGCCTAATGATCTGCATCAGACATTTGATAGAGGCTTCGTTCAAGAATCAATTAAGCAGAACAGCCAAAGATTCCGGACACACACTAAGGGAGGATTAGTTATGAATCCGCTGGCTGACGTTGAGAATGATCTTAGAGAGAACTTGGGACAGTATCCAAAAAGATTACTGAAGACTGTAATCCAAGAGGATGACAGTGTGCCTATTTACAAATAGCTGCAAACCTCGTCTGCAGGTAGTTGAATATCTGGATTCTTTGCAATTGTCGAAAGTTCAATTTTTGAGCTCCAAATATAGTCTGTTTTGAGCATATTTGTATGCATACCCGGTTAGGAATCACGACTCTCCACAATAGTATGATATTGTCCACATTTAGTATAAGCTCTCATGACTTTGTTTTAAGATTCTCCAAAAGGCCTCATTCCAACTCATGATCATTCCCTAAATTAACCAGTGTGGGACTCTCTCCCAACAATTCTCAACAATCCTCTCCTCGAACAAAGTACACCATAGAGTCTCCCTTGAGGCCTATGGAGCCCTCGAACAGCCTCCCCATAATCGAGGCTCGACTCCTTCTCTGGAGCCCTCGAAAAAATGACACCCTTTGTCCAACACTTGAGTCACTTTTGACTACACCTTTGAGGCTTACAACTTCTTTGTTTAATATTTGAGAATTCTATTGGCATGACTAAGTTAAGGACATGCCTCTGGTACCATCTTAGAAATCACGACTGTTCACATTAGTATGATATTGTCCACTCCCAAAAGGCTTCATACCAATGGAGATATATTCCTTAACTTATAAACTCATTCCCTTAATTAGCCAGCCAATGTGAGACTTCCTCCCAACAATCCTCAACAGCCGCTAATACACTTCAAATAGTGTTTATTTAAATCCCATTTCCTACCAACATCATGAACTCACTTTCCTACCAACATCATGAACTCACTTTCCATCTTTATCGTTTCGGCCGAAGAATGTGTATTTGAACTCTAATTTAACCTTTGATTTGTGAAATAAACTGCAGATTCTGAACTAAAATTACCCGTTTCTGAAGGCTTTCCTCAATCAGGGTGGTCCTGGAAAGGCGAAAGCGATGAATGACCGAGTTATTATGGACGGATCTTGCGAAGTATGACTTCTCAGACATGGCATTAACCTCAAGATTGAAAAAAGGTCTTTTGGGGCTATTTATGAGCATACATGCATGCTTCACGAAGGTCCTTTTCGATTATAATGGGTGATTGCCAGAGCCTGTCTTCTTTGCCACGTGAAACTGACAGAAACAGTAAGATCCTTCTTACTATTTACTCCGTCTTTTGTTTTTAATCTGAGGCTGCTTCTTGTCACTTCTCTGTCTCACTCCTGGAAAAAAAGAGCTAATGGTTTTGTTTGTATTAACATAAAATCAAGCATACCTCTGTTTTAGGTTGTTGAATTACTAGCCCAAGCCAAAGAATAATGAGTCAAAAATACCAAAAGGGGAAGAATTTGGACAGCCTAGAACCAAAAGTAGGCCAGACCATCTACCACCCACACCCATATAATTAATGGCCGGCCATGCACCATTGCTGAAAAGCTTGACATTATAATCCCTTTTCACATTATCAAATGGAGGATGCCTAGAACCAATATATGACTATTTTTTTCTTTTTGTAATTTATGCTAATATTTATTTCATGTGTGAACAAGTATGTGTTGAACGATTTGAATAAGTGAGGAAAAAAAAGCTGTGTATTACATGTTTCTTCCAAATTCTTGTGAACAATCAATGTTATTCATTTCACTCTTGTGATTGTGTATAATTTTAATTATCATTGTGAATTGTGAGTGCCCACGAGGTTTCCAACAAAATAGGTTTACAGGTTGCCTTATTTGTGGAAGATGACATTCAACCATCCTAACATGTTGTAAAGCATACTTTAAGATTCGCACGAAGAATTTAAGTCGGTGGAATATTTAAATGTAAAGTCGGGTAAAAAATTAGTTTCAAGTAAATATCTAATGCGTTCTCGAGAAGTCATTTTTTATATCAAAACCTTTTAAGTTGTTTAAGGCCCTACTCATAGGATTTCAAGCTATCTCATTTGTTTTTAAGCCTTATTTACATGGATTACAAGATTGTATCACACAAACGTGACTATAAATTTCTACTTGTTTAGAGGTGCTATCGTCGTCATCATCTATATTTATATGCGGAAATAAAATTTTAAAACTTCATCATAAAACACTGTTGTGGACTTGTGTATTTGAAAACATCTTTTAAATGACAGAACAAAGTAGTGAATGAATAAATAAACGTTGATATTAAAAACAACATAATTCTAAGAAAATAAGTACAACTAACCTACGCATGTGGCATGGTCCTTAATTATGATGTCGTCGTCAGCCGTACAAAGATGTCTTGCCTTTCCTTGAAATAGAAGTAGCACGACATGAGTGTTTAAAAAAATTACTGTCGTCAGCCATACAAAGATGTCTTGACTTTCCTTGAAATAGAAGTGATTCTACTGTTGGGGTCATGAATACAAATACATGCAACTCATCATTAAAAATCATCATAGGGGGTGGCCTCTAGTTCGGACAAAATTGGATGGGTAGTACTTCCCTTGACCCACACATGCAATGTGGTTCCCAAGACGGTTTGCACCTCCATGAACCCATTCCCTTGACCCACACATGCAATGTGGTTCCCAAGACAGTTTGCACCTCCATGAACCCATCATACTTCCATCCCAAGACAGTTTGCACCTCCATGGACCCTCCAAGGACCCATCATACTTCTATCGGCCCACACGTGCGAGTGTTGTTTCCTAAGCAATTTGCACCCTTGGATCTATCATAGTCAAATACGAGATCAAGGTTGCTAAAAACTTTTTGAAATAAAGGATATAGAAAAAATTTAGAGGTACTCTACTCAAGTATTCTATTGAGACTTAGATAGAATTTTTGTCAAAATAAAATAATAGATTTAGTATTTAGTACATCAATTTTTTTAATTGATTGAATCTTATTCTTATTCAAATTTGGAGTTGTGTTATTATGTGCTATAAATACATACCTTCAAAGTTTTATTGATCTTTATCGTCAAAGAAAGATAATATTTTTAAATTATATATAAAATCACACCTCTCCATTAAATCATTTGTAGCTATTACAAACTCGACCACATTTATAGTGTTACCAAGATAAACATCAAGCTAATAAATGAACCATTATCAAGATGATTAGACACAAATATGATTAATTGAGTCAAAGCATGTCATTCCGTCGAGGGGTGGGTCGAAAGATACATACCATACAAGCAGCAGAATCTTGAATCAAGCACGGTCAAAAAGACACATTCCTCCGTGTCGTAAATTATCGTTAAAATTCCAAAAAAACATTCTCTAGAGACACGCCAGAGAAGAAGTACAAAAGTTTGAATCCAAATAATAAACATTGAAGATTCCAACCATAAACTTGAAATGGAAGAAAGCCGTGACAAGAAACATATACAACTTTGATAAATAAATAACCAGTTCAGTTCCTGCAGTTTCATTAGCCATTGGGATATCTCAAACATAAATAATACTACAAAGCGTTCCAAAAATCATCTCTCTACTTTGAAAATGTAAGATTACAGAGCACAAGAAAGGTCATATTGCCGCTTGCTCGTGTTCCTTCTTAAAAAAATATACAAGATTATAGGCCCTCTGATGCCTTCTGTCATTTTTCTTGATCAATCAAACCTTCACAGAGCAGCATCAGCACAAACTCGGAAACAAAAGAATGGGGAAAACTTGAACAAAGAGTGATCCTTTTAGAGTCAAATTCACAGTAACACGGCAGATAGAAGGGGAATTACAAGCAGCTGAAGGACAGAGAGCGTTTACAAAAAATAATCGGGAGTCTTGCGAGTGGTATCTGGTTCGATTTGCCTAGGTGCGGGGTCAAACTGAAGAAAATTTTGATCCATATTCTCCCCAATCTCAAGGATTGCAGCCATATTCCCACACCGATAACAATAATTTGGAGCACTAAAAACAGTCACCACATTCTTGTCCTATAAAGAGAAATAAGAAGGAACCGGCAAAAATAATGTACCAACATCCTTTGCAGAGAAAGAAAATAGTTATGCAAAACAATCCACCAGGATTAACGCACCTGACACCAATTGTATCCCTCCATTACAAGCTGGTGGGCTCTTGATATCAGCGTTAGGCCATTTGTGTGGTTGAATTGAGTGGCAATATCCTGCCCAAAAGTATATCCAGCACCACGCGGAGATATTCCCCATCCACAGCGGTCATCAGGATCAGACCATAAGAGATCACACATTGGTCCTTCATGCGGAACCTATTAATATATTAAAAAAATAAAATTCAAGGGTTAAGAAGAAAGAAGCATCTCATGGTTTGCCCAATATTACTGTATCCAACTGCAATATTTCTTTTTTTCTTTAGGAGGGGTGGGGTGGGGATTAGTTTCGTGAAAGTTCTTGACAAGAGAATATATATCTTGGTAAACTTTTTAGAACACAAAATGAATTGATTAATGACCAAAACCAAACTGATTATCCCTTTAGTAAGCAGGCATCCTATTACTTCTATCGCTCTCTAAATTTTTATATCTTATCAGAATGATCATAATTTTGTTGATATAAAACTAAATGTAAGATGTTTTCTTTTAAAATTAATTAAAAACAAAAATAGAGCACTTTAATTCTTTCATACTTCAAAAATAAGTAAACAAATGGATTTTATTCTAGACTAAGCACTTTAATTTCTCAATGAGAAAACCAAAAATTTCATTGAAAAAAAATGGAAGAACACGAGGGGTATACAAAGAGCAAGTCCATGCCAAAAAGAGTCGAACAAAAACATAAAAGGATTCTAGTCAAGCAAAATAAGAACCATAGGATAATTCAAAAGGCCTTAGATACCCAAGCCCATAGATCTGTACAATTGACTCTTTCAAAGTTAACAGAGATGTGATCATATTTTCCGTAGAATCGTTGTTGCATAAATACTCCCACGAGTTTCCTTTCCATTTATAGGATCCCTTCCAAAGCTAGCTCTTCTGTTGACGAAATCATAAGAGATTTCCTTTGGGAAAGGCCAGAAGGAGCAAATAAGGATGGAGCCAGCGAGTTGGTTAGCTGGAAGAAGGTTACGGCCCTACAGATTTATGGAGGTTTGTGGTAGGAGATTTGAAAAGACGAATTCTACTTTGCTCTCAAATAGTCATGGAGATTTGCTCAAATGAAACAGTCCTACGGAAAAAGATCAAAAGAAGTAGATATGGGCAAACCCATAGCAGCTGGCTTCCAAATTTAATCAAGAAGTCCAAGTACAGCCCTGGAAACACATCGGTAAAAATAGAGGTTTCTTTGGAAGACATCAATTACAACAAGACCTTTTTGAGAGGAGCTCCCCTCATTTTTGCAATAGCTACTCCAAAAGCCTTTCTATCCTCAATTGTTGGTCTGTTGGGGGTGAAGATTGGGATTCTTAGAAGGGGTCTCCTTGACAAAGATATGGAAGAATGGAACAGTCTAATCACAATTTAGAGGGGGAAATGCCAAGTGAAGAGGAAGATCAAGTTTGCTGGCTTCCAGACAATTCAGGGTTTTTTTTTCTTCCAGCAAGTCAAACTCAAAATTATTACATGGGAACACCACTTATTTGAATCAATTTCTAACCAAGTTCCCATCCAAAAATTTCTCACTAAGATGATACGGGAAAAAAAACACACCAAAGAAGATGAAAATCTTCATTTGGTCCATAGCACATGGAAAAGCTTAAACATGATGGATGAATCCAAAGACACCCGAAGCTGGCTCTCTCTCCAACATTAGCTAAAAAACTCTGAAGCGGCAACCACCTTTTCCTTCACTGTCAATTTGCCTAGAAGGTTTGGATGTTACTCATTAAGCTTTCTGATACGGCTTGGTGACCTCCAAAAAGTATTAAAGATGGAAGACAAGGGTTTTGTGGAGCAACGTTAGTAGAGCCCTCCTTGGGTTGAATTGGAAAGAAAGGATCAACGTGTTCTCAAATAAGTCTTCTTCAAGTGTACAGCATTTTCTCATTAGCTTAATTGAAGGTCTTCCTCCTTTGTCAACCCTCTGAATTAGGCTTAGAGATCCACTATCCATAAGGCCTTTAGGCTGTGTTCTTCTCCTTTGTTGAATATATTTCGATATGTTTCCTACCAAAAAAGAATATAATACTCCCACGAAAATAACAGACAAGAGGGTTCTATCTTTCTAATGACAAAATCCAGATGAATACATGATCATCGAGGTGGTTCCAAGAATTAGATGATCAATACTAGTCTCAAGCATTCCTTTCTTTTTTAAAACTAAGCAAGTAATCTCTTACATTTGACTAAAATATTTTGCAGAGCCAATCTAAAAATAGCTATTTCGTCAGTCATTATTTACAAAAGAAGTAAGCACTTTGTTCATATATCAGTTTTTTAAAGCACACTAAAGCACAATAGCCCTCTAGAGCTTGAGCACGAGCTAAAATCACAACAGGGGTTGTTTAAACAATGAGGCACACAAAAAATGAACAAAGGATTTGGAGCTTTCGTTAGAAATTGGGGATAAAAATCAATATCTTTTAGAAGTATTTATTTGTTTCTTTACCAACTGATAAAACTAAAACTGAAACTAAAATAAAATAGGGCTTGAGGCACCAAGCCACACATCCAAGTGAGCCTCAAGAATTGAAGCGAGGCGCACTTGTCTTGCTTTAAAAAACAGCATGTCTTTTAAGTTTTGAATATTGTAATTGTATATCCCAATGGTAGTTAGTCCTTGAATGGGGAGTGTCAAATATTAATTCACATGCTTACTAAAATTACACATTAATACCTCTTGAATTCGGTCCAATGATCTGATGTTATCCAAGGTATCCAAAGATGGCGAAAGTCCTCCATGCAAACAAAAAACCTACGCTAGGATAATAATAATACACTATTAGAACCCATCTAACAATCCAAATAAGGAATTAATGACATGAGGAACACAAACCTGACTCTCAATTAGAGCTGTAAGAGGTAAATAATCAAAGAGGTCGGTAAAGTGCTTCCAGACATTTGCATTTCCATATTTTCTCAAACACTCATCATAGAATCCATAACTGAAAAGAAACAAAATCAGATAAATAAAAACAGACAAAAAGAAAACTGGAGTAACCAAGAATTGCTTATGTGCTTGCCACACCTGTTAATTAGTTGAATATTTAAAATGGAATGATAACAATTTGCCACCTTTTCAAATATGTAAATTTTCATAAGCTTTTCATGTGCACGTGTGAAACCAGTAGGAAAAGGTGTTAAACACAACCTAGAGCAACTGAGAGGATGGGGTTGCCGATGCAAGATAAAAGCATTCAGCTTCACAACGAACAGATATTTCACAGATGTCATAAGACAATTTTGTTCCAAGAAGAGGATATGGTAGAAACCCGAGCATATCGCCATTTTCTTTTCTTTTCTTTTTTAATAGAGTGGACATACAGGCCAGTTTCCATGTATCTACACTATCTCCACCTCACAAGACAACCACAACCCCCAGATCCTACAACATTTGGACGTCAGAAAACTGATAGGATTTTAGTATAATACGTATGTGAGCGCTGGGGGGTTTGCACCACCAAACTGGTGCAACCTTTGCAAGCAGATTTTGGGAAACTAGGACCACCATTTTTATTGTCCATGCTGAATCAAGCTATTGAAAGGCTTTGAATTTCGAAGGTCCATATAATGCAATTGAAACAGAGAGAGCAAGCCATGAACCATTTAAAATGGGAGACTGTTGGAAGCATGGAAAAAAAAAAAAAAAAAAATAAGTGCACTGGTGGAAGCATGGCGTAACATTCTGTTTATGAGTACAAAATACTTCAGTTTTAATAATGTAAGAAAGTAGCGGAATATAAATAATCTTACACTTGAGTTATCTGCCTGCTCTCATGATTTCCCCTCAAGATTGTAATTCTATCTCTATAACGAACTTTCAGAGCGACTAGAAGTGAAACAGTCTCCACAGAATAGTATCCACGGTCTGCACCAGTTATATAATGATTCATGATAACAAGAAAAAAATACAAGTGCATTGCGCATGAGAGAATTCAACAAATCAACAACCTGCCACTTCATTCCATAGAAGACGGTGAAGAATACATTTCTTCAAAGGGAAACAAACTCTACTGAAAACCAAGGAACTTATATACCAGTTATTTTCACTTGTATAATCTCCTTTCCTTTTTTATGGAAAACAAAGTCAACATTGACATGAAAAAAAAATATACGAGAAAGAGGATAAAAGAAATTTATAAAACAAAAGTCCAACCAAGTATGATTATATATAAAGGCAAAAAAAGAACCATAATCTAATGATTTAATATCCTTGATTGACAGGAGATATCTATCTATCTATCTATCTATCTATCTATCTATATATATCTAACCCATTTGGTATCCCAATCTTCAGTCTCATCCTAAAAGTTACACTTTACTTTATTAAGCCATGATCCAACGAAGTGCTGAAACTCCATGTTTCCACAAACCTTTGATAGGCGTATAATCCACAGTTTTACTTGTATCCATCCACTTGCAAATAAGTAATTGAAAAAAATAACCAATTTCTCGAAATCTTGAAATTTGGTATCTACAAAGGAGGGGTGGAGATGATCATGTTGGGTGGACTGGGAGGCGGAAAGTGAGGGGGAGAGAAAGTTCCTTTGCAGACATTATTGACGAGTCCTACATCTTGTTCAACTATTGTGGCATTCTTGACCTAAGAAAAATCATATAGACATTTACGTCTGATCCAACACACATCTTTTTCATGCCCCTCTTCATCTTTTCCTTATACTAGGAAAAACTTTTATTTGTACGAGAAAGACTGTGTACAACAGGGGAGGGAGGTAAGGCGCCACCCAACCCCAAGATAATAAAGGATTAATGCTTCCTTGTGACATTTTTAAGGGAAAACCCAATATTCACAGAAAATTGTATTAGAGCTCTAGTTTTTGGGGTAAAAAATTAACTAAACCAAAAAAGTTCCCATATTTATGTTGATCATCCATTGTTCCTTTCAACCCAGAGATGCCAACAAGGACCACGCATACATTAGAGAATAAAGCTTTCACACCCCCCAAAAAAAAAAAAAAAAAAAAAAA